ATACACAGAATAAAGAACTGAATACATAAAGAGAGAGATGCGACACACACACACACACACACACACACACACACACATATACATTATTCAATTCTTGGTTGCAATATACAAAAAAGCTTTAAGAATAAAAGAGTCAGAAAAAAAGAATATAAAAAAAGAATAAATAAAATATTAGAAAAATATGAAAAACATAAACAGTAAATAAAGGCAAGCAACCAGTAAAAATCCTCTTCATAGGAGATAATGAAGATAATAATACGATTGGTCATTAATAAGAACTAATAAGCAAACTCAATCACCAAACAGTACATACATACCCGCACGTATGCTACCCTACGAATAAGCCGAATAAGCAGTAAAATAATCCATATACGTACAGCTGCCAACTCTCCCACATAACCCATCCTAGTGGGCCATAATCTAACTACAGCACGCATTTGCGTTACTAATAAACAAAAGACGCATATGGCAAGAAACAGTTATGGGTGCATTGCGTCTCGCACTTATACGTGCAATTGCTGCACATACACCTACCCCGGCCTTGCACCTCTGACGTTACACCCCCCAGCGGCCCACACCTAATGCCTTACTAGGCAAACTGGATCGCACCCTACGATATTTTCAAGCAGTGCGTGCCACACCTTCATGACTGCGTTCTGTGACCTTGGAACACAGCACGGTTTCTCTATTAAGCCCCGAACCCCCCAAATTCTTAACGCAGTAATATGCCTTACATCGCTAAATTTCGCACCTTGCCAAACGACAAGCATAGAAAAACATGACGTCACGCTTCCGGCACGCTAAACAAAACGACACCGCCATACCAAGCCAAAAACCTCCCGGTCCCTATTGCCTACACAACGCAAACGCTTCCATAGGCATAACCAGATCGCAGCGATAGTGACAAAATCCAAAAAACAAACGCTCGGACATTGTGAAAAATACAGAACTTACTATAGCGACTACACACGGAGAATACCCACCCCTAGGCCGTGTGCACATGCTCATCGACGCAAGATCGCTCCTCCCACGCATACCCACTCGTTACCCTCTGCCAACTCGCGCCCTGACATTCCGACATTACAGAACACTGAACTGCAACCATGCATACCCACCGCATGCCTCCATACCACTCACCCCCGCACCCAGCTCCCAATTGGCCGTCTATACTATGTATACCACTCGCACCTCCACACTTCTCTCCTCTTGAGCGTTCCTCACTGCTTTTGCCTACACTCTCCTACGACACAGTACGTGCCTGCTTTAGCGATCACTCCCACGCTTACCTCCACGACATGCGAGGTTGTCCACCAGCGACTACTCAACTAGTATGCTTCTTCCTCTCCTGCTATGATCACTATCACACGATCTATGTGCTTGAGCTAGGCTGATCACAGATTTCCCCTGAGATCAGAGATTCACTGTGCTCTGAGTGCCGTGCTCACACTGCTGCCACCAGTTAATAAGCTCGCGCTACCGAGCAATGGCGGCATCTGATCCTCCGGCAACACCGGCCATGAATGCTCAGGTACGATCTCCTGACTCCATCAAATCCCTATGCTGCTGCCCCATACATCCCCCTGCCACCCCATCCCCATACACCTCCCCCTTCCTAACTAGAGCTTTACTAAGACTTACCCCTCTGATGAGCCGCTATGGGTGCTATGCGGCGAAAAGCGCTCTTCAGGGCGTGCACCCCCCCTTCGGCTTCCTAATCTTGTCGATTCTAACCCTGCTAACATACTAACTGCTCCCTATCTCCTCCTTCCCCCCACCCACCTCCCCCATGGTGCATTGTGGTGTTGCTCTCCTTACACGGAGACTATCTGATTGCGTGATACCTTCCTGTCACTAAACCTTCCGTCTTTTTCCCATTCTGCATGGGACGGCCGTGTTTTTACACACCCACCGCACACACACCTGGATGTTTACATGCAGTCGCCAAGTTGGGGGTAGACTCCCCCACTGAGAGACTTTAACCCTTAACTTTGTGCAGGATGCACCACGCACTTACTCCAACTAGATGTCACCACTAAGTATCGCCCACCTAATCTTACAACCATCTGCATTTTGTTGCTACTAACCTTCACTCAATTACAAGTTGCGCTCGCACTTTGCTTGCGTACAACCCAGCGACCCAGGACCACCACCTGCTCTAAAACTACCGCAATTTCCCCTCCCGCTGCCACTCCACTTTCATAACTTTCACCACAACCCATCCCCCGCCACAGATGACGCCTCAACTCTCCGACCCGGTGATGGCGTAACCCCGTACGGATCGTTCCTGTACACTCTTTTTATATATATAAAAAAATCTTAGTAAAAATCTCTAGAAGATCAGGACTCCTTATCCTCGCTAGATTACAAATACATCTCATTAGTAAGCAATTCAGTATCCCGGTATTCCCCTCGTACGGTAATTAACTATGCTAGAAGATTGCTAACCCCGACCCCGGTAAAAATGCCCATGCAGTTTTTCCCCCCTTTTTTTATTTCTTCTTTCTCATTTTGTCTGTCGTTACATATTTCTGTTTTTTTTCCCGAACCTTCTACATTGCTTTCAGAGTCGCCGCTTCTCAACACCAATTTGTTACATTAACCCTGTTGCTCGCCCGCCTAGCGCTACCGGTAAATGCGATGATAACTTGCCTAAACCTATAGAGGTTGCCCTGACATCATACACCAACTCCATAGTATTCCTTCCACTCACCCGGCAAATAGTTGAATCCCACACTAAGAGACCAATATTCCATGTTTGTACGTAGGACATACTATCCACAACCGCAGACCTCCACGATTATACCCTATAGCTTTATATCGAAAACTCATTACTACGAGCTTTTATCAGCCAATTTAAATCCTATCACTAGATCTTCCTCGCTACCCCTTAACCTTATACCACACACCGTGAAACCATCCACGTTGTTCCCCAACATGCGCAATGCACCTCCCTGTATCACCGTGACCCCCCGTTTAGTTGGTCAACATAACTCATTTTCAAAATCGTGTACGCTTGCCCTGCTGCGCTGCCGATTAACTACTTCATCAAAGTGGACACGCCACACACACGCACACACACACGCGCGCGCGCGCACACACACACACACACACACACACACACACAGACGCATGCACGCACTCTCTCTCTCTCTCTCTCTCTCTCTCTCTCTCTCTCTCTCTCTCTCT